GTAAAGTCCAGGTAGACAAGATCCATGTGGACTCAAGTCCAGACTCCTGTTCAGAGCTGGTCTGTCAGCACAGCAAGACACGGTCAGCTGTAGCTTTCTACACTCGAGTTGTGGAAGGTTTCCAAGATGGAGGTTCCTCAGCCTCTCCCACTGCCTGCCTGCCTGGTGAACAGTCTTTCTGCAGTGTTCAACCTTCCCAAACTGCAACTTATGGTTATCATCCCACATCACATCACCTGGTCCTGCTGAGATAAGCTTTGTTCTGCTGGGCTCCGTGTCACTGCTACTCCTTTTCTGCAGGGGATTTTGTCCTTCACATCAGCTGCCGAATGAACCTGTTTGTCCGCATGGGACTTAACTCCAACACTGGTGGACCTTACATTCATCACACAGGTCAGCATCACTTTCAGCCCTGGTCAGTTCTCATGGATCATTCCCAAAATGCGATCACTCAGAGGGGAGGAGCGGTCACTCACCTCTAGAGTTTTCTGTAAGGACTGTGTCAGGCTTCCCAACTCTTTCTTTTCTTCCTCCACTCCTTTAAGGGAGCGGGCTGTGAGCTCTAGCTCCCTAAAGAAGCAAAAAAGGGGGACAGCTATTGCAGGGGAACAGTAGCCCCACAGACTGTGCTCAGGCTGTGGATCTCTCAGCACAGGACCTGTGACCAGTGGTTGGTACAGGCAGCTCTGGAGAGTCAGGAGCTTGCCAGGAAGCATCGCACCCTGAACACGCTACAGGCATCCAGGAACTTTATGGATCGTCAAACCAAAACCAACTGTTCATGTGCTTCCCTAGCAAGGGCAGGGTAACCGTTGCAACTGGAAGAGCTCAGACAGGACAGTCACAGCTAAGCAGATGTAGATCTATGAAAACAAAAATGGTTTGCAAAATCATGCTGGCTTTTCTGAGATATTATTTAAGGAGAGAAAAGGGGGGGGTGGGAAAAAGAGAGAGGGCAATGGCAAAACATGCCAACACTCAATGCAAAAGCACTTGGACCCTTCTCTTTTTAAATACATTTGCTGTTCATATTTTGGATATTGTAACTCTTAAAATGACAAAATTATTCTCAATGAGGCAACTTCATCATCACCTAGTGTCATTCAGCTAAGGTGGAAAACCAGATTCAAATGGATGGAGCCCATGTGGCTGGTCAGCCAAATTAATTGCCTCTCTGAAATCCTCTAACACCCATCTGTGGCCATGTTATCCTGACTAATCCGGAGTTTGCTCATGTCCCAGCCCTTTGAAAACAAAGTTGCTGGAGCCCTGAATGCAAAATGAAACTAAGCTGTATTCTATTGGTCACACAAGTGACAGCAAATGCAGGTAAACTGACCTGAACTATTCCCATTTTGGTCAATGTAGCATTCATCTCCTTCTATGTGCACAAAATAGGTGAACTTTATGAGTTGTTTGGATTCATCACCACAGCAGCACTTCTGCCCAGCGTAGGAGTTGGAGTCCTTCCCCTGCCCTGCGCAGCTTGCTGCCTTACCGCCTGATCTGCTCCTGCTCCAGCCGCAGCTCCCGTACCACCTCTTCAAACCGGTGCTTCTCTGCTTCCAGGACTTGGTTCAGACGCTCGAGTTCCTGCACCAAAAGAGAAGACAGGAATTACTCTGCTGACACACATGCAGTTAGGAAAGGCTTCCCTTTTTACAAAGCCTGAGACTTTTAACCTGAGATACACAGAGCCATGAGGTGTCTGATTCCACCACACTTTTGTCCAGGGGCAACTAGAAGGGATAGAAGGTTGGTTGAAGATTTCCAGACATCCAGAAGTCCTAGCCAGTTTACCAAGCACCTGGACATCCCAGACATGCTTCCTGCACAGGTCAGCTCTGCTGCTCATATGCAGAAGGTCCAAAGCTCCCTGGGAAAGCTGGACTCAACAGGCATGTACCGTTTCCAGGCACCCAGTGCACAGGTACAGAAAGTCCAGACAGGAATGTGACAGCCCCAGCACTGCTGCACCCGAAGCAGGATATCGCTACTAGCTCAGCCTTGCTTCCCATCCCCGCTGGGACGGGAAAACATGAAGTGCACAGTTACAGCTCTGCACAGTTCAATCAGCCTGTCACTAGCTTTGTGCTAGTAAAACCATGTTTGAAGAGCAGTGAATACCACAAGCTATCCTCAAGCAGTGAGTCAGTCTCTCCCCCTACTCCAGAGGAAGCAGTGGTACCGAGACCTACTGCAGATGGAGGGAGACAGGGACAAAGTACAGCAAGGGTCCCATTCCCGCACAGGTCCCTGGCAGCCTTCCCCGCTAGGCAGACCCCCGCTGCAGGCCTGGGCAGGTCACAAAACAGCATTGATGCCAGATAAATTCACAGTAAGGCTCTTGCTCCAAGGCACAGACGCACGGTTCAAGCTGCTTTCCCAGCATCTTGCTTGGAAGCCTTCACGCTCGCAGCAGGTCAGACCACCACAGCTATATATTCATTCCTTCATCAGAACCCAACTCCTTCAAACTAACCTGGCCTCATCTGCTCTTGGTGGGCAGTGGAGATACCATGCATGGCTTTGAGAGCACAGATTTGTTCTGTGGTCTTTAGATGAGGGCATTTCCCTCCCTACGGCTGTGGGTTGTGCAGCACGCTACCTCACCAAAAAGGGATGTCTCCCTGCAAATGCACATGTAGCTTAGCCCTGAAGGGGTGTCCAAGCCCCCTTTGGACTTTAGCACTGCAGAAATGTACACAGCAAAAACATGGGCCTGAGAAGCCTAGGTCAGCATTGCCATCTTTTGCTGAAGAGGGGCAACAGTCATTTTGGAATAACTGGAAAAGAGAGCATGGGGCAGTTTGTAGAATGGCAGTGTGGTGGTCTACATCCAAGCGGGCTTTCCTACGGTGTAATAGGACAACCCATTTGCAAAGCTCTCTTGCAATAATTGGATGACAGTGCTATAAAAACAGGTAGAGATTTGGTGTAAATATGAGAATGAGCTACTTCTATTATTTTAGGCAAATATAAGTTAGGAATAGTTTGGAAAACAATAATAAACTTGATAAGGTATAATAGTCACACCTAAGGGAGTGCTCTCTTGAGTTTTCTCTTGTGCAATGTTTATTATTCTCCCCATCTCTAGTGTGTCCAAAAAACAAACCACATTGCTTTTTGCTGCACCTCGTTTTTCTCTATGATATCACTACACTAGAACAACGTCAGGTTTATTTGCTTTTCTAACTCTGGAGATAGGCAAGTTGATTGCCACAGTCTTCTTGAATCTGCCAACTAAGTGTATAATTAAATTCATATTCACTGGGTTGAATCTGATCTTCCTCCCTCGTCCTCCTGGAAACACGATCACAAACATGCTGCCCAGAAAGTGCCTGAGGAGGGGAGCAGCAATACACCTTCAAGACCCATCCTATGGCACAGCTCTCATTCCTCTCTTCATCCACAGGGCCCAGAGTTTGGCTGGACATTCTTTTGGCTCCGCAGCCTCCTTCCCTGAACCCTGACATGCCTCCCAACCTCCCAGTCCTGCCACGTGGAAGCTGAAGGAAATTGGCTTGTGACGAACACTCACCTCTTTTTGCTCTCTCTGCAGACACAGCTCTTCTGTTTCTTCCATTAGCTTATCTGCAAACACACACACGCAAAGCCCAAATGCAGAGGAAAGCAATTTATATCCTGGTGATACTTAGGAGCATGAAACACTGACTGTTTGAAGCTTCAAAACACAGCGTTCCCTATTGCTTGTGTGTACCTGTCTGGGAGGCTCCGAGGGCTGAGATGATACTAATGGGATGTTCTGTAATTTCCCTCTTGCCAAATAACTTCATAAACTAAAGAGCCATATTGCTGTGTACTCATCCTAAGGTTTCCTCTCGATGTTGTTAAAGAGCATTAGCGAACTAACCTTCGCAATCCTTTAGCTGAGTCAGGGGAACATTCTTATCTCTGCTTCACACGTGAGGAAGCAAAGGCCCGGAAAGGTTAAGTGGGTGCACAGGGTTGCACACGTTGTAGCAGCAGTCAGTGCCCCATCCCTGCCTGCCTAGCATATCACCCTCTCCCTCAGACCCCTGGGCATCACTGCCAGCTCCCTACGGTCACCTTGGGATGTCCCAGCCAAGCCCAGGAATCAATCCCCTAACTTAGCCACAGAACTTCCAGCTGTTAAGATTAGTTCCCCTCAACATCGGTTGCTCTTGTCTACGGAGAAGGACACATGCCCACCGGAGACTCTGCTCTGGTCCTTACACTGTGACCTGATGTACCTACGTTGTGCTACGCCCTAACCTTACACAGAGGCTCTGCCTCAGGCAGGTCTCAGTGATGCTTACAGGAGACCGGGCAGAAACTCATTCCCGGTAGTCAAGCGTAGGGTCTAGCTCTCAGCGCTGCCACCCGGCTGCCCTGTGAGAAGGGGCAGATTTGCCATAGCACTTTGTCATTAAGTCTTCTCCGCATCAGGCGAGGAGGATGCTACTGGCTTCCTTTGTACTGAGGACCTGAAGATCTTATTACTGCTGGCAGGATTACTACTGCTAGGAGGAACGCAGACCTCTACCTCCTGCCCACAGCAGGGCTCCTGGTGCCAGAGCAATAGTCTTACATTACTGAGCTCTGCTGACCATCACTGCTGCCTTTCTTTCTACTCTCGCCTTCTTCCTCCTTGACAGGACCATGTAGACCTGCCCTGTAATCACACAGAGGCTCTCCCACCTTCCCCCTTCTGCCCCTCCTGGGGGGACCAAGCCCAGGGCTTGATGGGCTTCTGCAAATTCCCTGCCTGAGAGAGAAAACTGGATCCCAGCTGACTGGGGGGCAGGTAACTCTGGAAGGATTCAGGGAATTCCCTGAGCAGTGTTTGCTTCCTCCAGGGAGCCCTGACCTGCTGCCAGGAGCAGTGCCTGACCTCAAAGCTTAACTACAGGATGGACACAGGTCATTGAGGGTAAAGCTAATGAGGCAAAAGCCTCAGCAATTATACAGGAATAAATAGAAAATTGCTGAAAGTAACCAACTATGACAACTGACCAGCTCAGAATGTTCTTGTCACGGACCAAAGAACCCAGTGAAATGTATATTTTACATTCCAAATAGCTCCTGTTTGTCACAGGACATGTCTTCCTCTATCACCTTGTCTTTTTTATCAGCCTCCTAGGCTCTTTAGTCTTCTCTGGTGGTTGAAAACAATGTTTTGAGAAAACTTTCCTGTTTCTAACTTTGCTCTTGTCTCCCCAGGTCCTCCTCTCAGCACTCCCTGCCATCCCTTTGGCTTGTGTGGAACCACTCTTCCCTGCCTGCCTCACCTACCAGCCCACCCATCAGCTCACACGTGCAAATGGCGCTCAGATGGCCAGAATGAACACGCCTTCTTACTTGAATCACGATCACTGTCGCATGGGAGACCATATACTGAGATCACCCCTGATGAGGATGGATGCAGACATGCCAAAGGCTCTTCAAGATCCCTCCAGTGGGTTGATGATTAGGACTAGGTACCACAAGCCCCTGCTCAAGGCCTCACCAACCTGAAGCACTCAAAGTTGCTGCTGCTAGCTTGTTTAAAGCAGACTGTCCAGAGAAGTCACTGGGCTCACACATGTCACCAGCAGCCCTCAGGTCAGAAGGGCTCTTACACCTTGGGGAATGCTCTAACTTAGGAGGCATCTGCGTTAAAAAGGCCACACTCCCTTGGCTCTTGCTATAGGCAATTATGGAGAAGAGACAGCTCGACTTCCCAAGGCAGTCACAGAGCACCCAAGGCACTGTCACCCAGAGGCTGGTTTCTGAGTAGGGGATGGGACTAGATAACATCCAGAAGTCTCTTCCAACCTAAATTGTTTTATATTCATCTGGAGCAGCTGCTCTCTCTCCATTGCCCATGGAGAGAGCAATGACAAATTAGCCACTGCCATTAGATACCTCAAACAAACCCATGTAAAATCTCCCACTTCCAATATGAACAGTGTGAGCAAATGCAAAGACCAAGCAGAGTAACACCAGAAAAAAGCAGCTAGAGGAGGAAAACACATGCATGAAAAGCTGTGACCTGCCTCAGAAAAAACAGTCCTGAGAGACTGAAAGTCTAGGCAAAGGCCGTTTGCTTGGTGAGCATCTGAAATCGGCACATCCAAACTTCTCAGGGCAGCAAACATTTGTAGAGACCAGGCAGCAGGAGCAGCAGGACTACAGCATGCTGGCCAAAGCATGTTCTTCCTTTCATGCCCCACACAGATATCCAGATCCTACCTTAACATTTTCATGTTTTGACTCCCTTCAGAACCTGAATTTCAGCTGCTGACTACTCAGAAGCTTCAGCCAGTAAAAATCTGTAGCTGCTTGGCTTGACCACACTGACAACTCCAGGAAAGCAAAATGGCTATTTGGAGTTTACGGCTTTTGGAAGTGTTTCCTACCTAAATACTCCTGCTTCTCCTTGGCCAGCTGCAGTCCTTGGGCTTCCAGGCTCTCGATCATGGCTTCTCCCAGTTGGGCATTCTTCCAGGTCCTAGGGAGAGCAGACCCAAAGCAGACAATGTAAGACAGCTAAGGGTCCCACAGAGCGAGGCGGGGGACTCAGCCTAGCAAACTACCAAGGAATTCAAACACAGAGACTCTCATCAGTTGGGACAGGGATTCTCTGGTTTTTTCCTTACAAATGAATTGGGGAAATTTCCCTGACATTGAGTAGTTTTTATATTTATTTTTTTTAATACAGGAGCTGTATGTCAACACCACACATCTATTCAAGTGGGTTTTTTTCCAGTGTTTTGGAGACTTCTGCACTGAGCTTAGTCTTAAGGGCTCTCCAGACCAACCCAGCACGTGCACAGCCTCCAGCTGCAACAGGATGTGCCTGGATCCCAGTAAATGGACCCTGACAGACTTTAGAACCAGATTTCAGCTTTTAACTCATCTAGCTTCCCATCTGCCAGTGACATTGTCTTCTGCAGCTTTTCCAATATTTTGCTGCTATAAACACTCTTCCCCTTCAACCATTAACTGCTTATTGACTCCTTTCCACAGCCATTTATCTTCAGCCTTTCTTGTATCCATCATCCATCCTGGAACCAAACAGTTCCTCCTTGTAGGCCACTAGGATTTGGTGTCTGGCCCTACACTGCGAGTTAAGTGCCTCTCCCTATAAAAACAACAAATAACCAGAGGCAAAAGCCAGATGAGATGCTGGCAAGTAGGGAGAGTTACAGGAAGCAGGCATATTCAGAGTACGTTGTGTTATTGTAGGACCATTGGCCAGAGGACCTCAAGGTCTCTTAAGCACATTATGAACTGAGCTGCAAAAAAGGCCTGAGGAACAGATACCCATTACTGGTTGAGCTGATGGACAGGGTAGGCTTTAATATAGATATTAAATACCAAGGATACACAAATCAAAACCAGAACCAGAAATTGAGTTTGCTGCTCATTTCTATTCATGTTCCATTAGAAAAAAATTATCATAAAACACATATGTAAAATTCACCTCAATCAATTTATATAGATGCACACAGAGGAACAGCAATTACTGCCCAGAAATTCTGCCATCTTTGTTAAATCCTAAGGGGGCTTATTAATATTAAATACCTGTAGGCCTTCCTGTACCAGGCCTCTTTGTGAGCCATTTGAAACTGCAGCTTTTGAGAGACTGTTAAGTTGGCAATCTCTTATAAAAGGATTTCAAGGCAACCTGTACTTCGTCTCTTACAAAAGCCAGACAAATCTATTAAACACACACCACCCCAGGGACCAGGCAGCTCACGGCTCCGGCAGCCGAAGCATGGCCTTGTGCTCTCTGCAGACAGCTGGGTTTCTTTTCAGCTAATGAGCATCTAGGATATTTCTAAAGCGCAGAGGAAATTAGAACGCTAATTAAAAAGGTGATGTTTTGCCTACAGGTAGATATGTTCATCTTGGGTGAGAACATGGGGGCGTGAATGTGTTTTTCCACTAACGTTGCCTGATACAGGATGAGTCTGCTCCCAGAGCAACCAACAGCAACCAGGTCAAGGTCGGGGGGTGGACAAAGTTTATCATATGATTACTTGGAGGGTTTCAAGATGGCTGTAGCCTTTAAAATGTCTGTTTACCTGATTTACTCTTCCTGTGCTCCCTACCTTCCCCCGCCTAACAAGATGTTTCACTGTCTCTAACTCAAAGGTTACTACACCCACTGCTGTATAACTTCGAAGGTGCACCCACATCACTGTGTTTTAGCTTCTATTCCTTTTATCTGCTGGAACCAGTGCTGGTGTGTAATGGCAGCAGCGGGGAGGTACAGGCTATGATTTCAGCTGAGGGGCAAGGAGGTATTTGTTTTATTTTGTACTTCTTACCAAGCGAGTTTTCATCAGAAAAAGCCACATTGCTTCAAGTGCTGGAAAGCACAGGGTCAGGAAGGCTCGTGGGACAAGTAGAAAGCACCCTTATAATATATTTCTGAAAAAAAACCCCAGAGCTGTATAGTATCTCCACTTGCTATACAGCTCAAACATCATCTGTTCCAGTCCTTTTGCAGCACTGGGAACATCTCTCTAGCTTTGCCTGCATTTTTCCTTTCTCAGGAACATCCATAACCCATTTTTGGAGACAGTACCCAGGACATATGTACTATGTTACCTGGGGGGTTTTCCCCCCACCACTGCCTACTAAGCCCACTTTTAACCACTGCAGGGAATGCTTCTGTGGACATAGAAAGTGTACAACGTGTCCCTCTCCCCCACTAGCAGTGGCAAAAGCCTCTCTGGGTGGGAAGAGAGCTAGGCTGGCTTGGAGTCAGGGCTTTGCGCATTTCCAAAAAGCTTTCAAGACCTGGCAAGTCCAAGCCACAACATGTCAGAAGGGTGAAGAGACCATCAACTCACCTCCGCATTGAATAGGCGGTTTCCTTATCAAACCAGAAGGCTTGGCAAGGAGTGAAGGGCTGAAGGCATCACTGAGCAGACTGTGATGGTGGTAATAAGCAGTTGTACAGGGACGTGCACACACAACTCACTCGGCCCCAGATGTTAAGAGGGAGCAGACAAAATTGAAACAAATGAGAGGTGATAGAGGACACCTCCCATCCT